TGGCTGGAGGAAGCACCGGAGAAGAGCTTTGAGTGTGGGAACACTCTTGCTTGGGATCCATAAGGTGACTCAAGTCAGGACCGCAGCCAGCTCTAAGGAGCCTTTGATCAGATTTAACCACTCATCCTGGTCTTTGCAGAGGGTTTCTGCAGGCTGTAGAGGCTCCTCCTGAAGGCTGAGACTGTTGGCCAAGTTAAGTTGAGTTGGAGGCTGGGGTAAGCTGAGGAAGAAGGCATCCTCAGGCTGCTTTTCTATGGCTAGTGTAGGCTGAGCTGTCGCTGTCTGGGTTCTGCAGGCCCACCGTGCTATGCGGGCTGTTGCAGTGGGACAGCAGAGGCCCAGAAGGCTTCCAGTCTGGGTTGTGCCTGCCTGCGACCTTGGCAGAGTCACTTGACTTTTACTTATGTCTGTACAACGGGCATAAAAAATAACCTTTGAGAGGAGAACTGGGTACACAGAGGAAGGCTCCTGTGAGGAAGTGATCTTGGATCATGTCTCAGGTGTGTCTGCCTGTGTCTACATAGGCTCCCTAACCAAGACTTCACGTTCAGAGATGTCCACAGTCCACACCCTCAGTTTTAACTCGGGGTTTTCTGCAGAACATGCCTGTAACGGCTGCATCCTTTCCCGGCAACCTTCCAGACACACATTAACAAAAGAGTTGTTAGGGCTGATTGCTGCATTACCTAAACACTCTCAGGGTCCCTAGAAGAGGCAGCTGGTCAGTTGCATTCAAATGTGTTTACAGATTCACAGATGTGTCAGAAAGGACCTGGTTAAATCCTCTCTCTGGTGTTGAATGTGTTCACCAAATTCATGAAGCTATGCTTTGCAGTGACAATGTTAGTGGGATCTATTATTTCCTTTATGGAAGACGTAGGTTGCATTTGGTAAGGCACAGTACTGCTCCTGTGTATGGTTAAGAAACTATCGTCTAGGAGTGGAAGCTGAAACATCAGCATTGAAAGACACCTGGTTAGTCACAGATGACCTTCACTGACCTATCATGGCCAAGTGTTTACATACTACTTCCCACAAGTCATTGTTTTGTATCTGCTTGATTTCTGTGCCAGGGAACTTACTCTCTGCAAGGAGGCACATTCCTGACCTGGATGTATAGTTTTCCAGTAGTTTTTTTTTTCTTTCTCTAGTGTAGCCTAACAAGCTTCTGTTATTTTTACCTTCCCCAGGAATAACTCAGAGCTAATCAGCTTCTCAGATAAAGAGGTAAGGCAGGTTCCCTGGGTTCAGTTCTGTTTGAGAGTTGTAGCAAGTCCCTGAATTAGCTTCTTTTCTGGCTGACTTACTAGTGACACACAGAGGTGACTGTGGGTGGAGCTCAGTGATCAAGGAGAGGATCCCTAGGCCCGTGTCTGTCTGTTTCATTGGGCCATTTTCATCTCTACACTAGATTGACTCAGGCTGGGACAGTTGTATTGGAGGCAAGTTGACCAGGGAAATGACAGTGACTCCTTTCAGCACCCAGGAAACAAAGAGAATGGTCTGAACTGGTTGCTGGTAGAAGTGCTTTTTAAGTTTGTGATTGGTTTCTTGCTCTTTTCGCTTGCTGTGATGGTGGGTCTACAGAAGGCCAGAATTAGTTTGCTTTTTATCCTGAGGGCCCTGTATGGAGGCTGAAGTGTTCCCAAGCAGATGAGACACAGATCCTAGCTTATAGAGGGACACTGGCTTTGTGTTGCTGCAGTATGAGGTGGGATCTGCGTGTGTTTGCTAGATGAATTCCCTGCCATTTGGGTGAAACACTGAGGCTAACCTACAGGCCTTTTTTTCCCATTTTTGCTGACATCCTCTGAACAGGTGGCTAGGGCAGCACCAGAACTCACTGGAAGTAGGTCCTTATGTGTACTGTCTTTAATCTCTGTCATACCTCATGCCTCACCAGCTCATTTGGGAAGAGACCAAGAAAGGGAAGGGTGAGGAGAGAGACTGAGTATTACAACATTCAGAACCTCATTTAGGAAGAAGAGCCATCTAGGTAATAGTCCTTAAGATAAATTCTAGGAGAATCTAAGCCAAAGATTAGATTCAATCTAAGCTGAAGCTGGAGAGAATTTATTGCCATAACTGTTGAACTTTCTCTACACAGTATATAGGAGAACTGGGGCGACAATGCGACACACAGAAACGACAAGAAGTTGAAGAGGTTAAGGTTAGGATGAGATTACAACCTTGATTGGAGTTCTCAGATGGGGGGAACACAACACGGGAAGAAAGTGAGAGGGAGAGGTTCTAAGACCCAGATGGCTTCTAATCTCAAATACAGGCATCACCTGAGCCAATTTTTAGTATGAGGAACAACAGGCCTCAGCTCCTGCCTTGGGGGTCCTTCTCTACTTAGGCTACAACATCTTTCAAGGCAGCCCCTAACTCTGGGAAGGAATACTGGTAGCCAGTGGCCAGTGTTCGCCGTGGGACCACTTTCTGGCCTTCCAGCAGCATGGTGGCACGCTCTCGTCCGAAGACTGCTTGTACCACCGTGCTGGGGACAGGTATGAAGGCTGGGCGGCCCAGGGCAGCACCCAAGGCTTGGGCAAACTCGGCATTGGTTGTGGCAGATGCTGGAGCCACTCCGTTCAGGACTCCTTGGACGTGGTCCGCTTCAAGGGCATGAGTCAGAATTCCTGCCAGATCACCAATGTGTATCCAGGGGAAGAACTGGTGACCTGAACCAATGGGGCCTCCTAGGCCCAGGCGGAAGGGCAGAAGCATGTGGCCGATGGCACCACCCCCACGGCCCAGCACAACCCCTAAAGCAGGCAAGAGGGGTGGTACAGAAAGGTTGCTTAGCCTTGAAAATCTGTATTACTCTAATTTCTCTTTTCCTTTCCTCACTTTCTTCCCACGTGGGTTTGGACAGGACAGAGTTGTGGATTGTGGATCTTCTTGGGACTTTCCCTCTGTAGGTTAGCTAGACTGATGGTGTTCTCTCACTGCAACCTCAGCCCACCTTGGCCCAGAAATCTTCCACTTTGTCAGGTTCCCAGGCCCTTAGTCCTCACCTGAACGTACCACGACCTGGCGTGTAGACTCTCCAGGCAGCCTGGCTGCTGCTTCCCATTTGGTTACCAAGTTGGAGAAAAAGTCAAAATCTCCTCCTGGACTGTCTTCATCATACTCCTCAGTCAGGCTTGGCTGGTAGTAAGCTGTCATGGGAGAGCACTCATTGCTCTGACTGGCCCTATCCTGCTGGGCCCTGCATTAAAGGCTCCCTAGCCTCATTCTCTTTGATCCGTTGGATCTCTACAGGAGAAGGAAGAACCATGACTGTTTTCCCCTTGAGCTGCTTCCTGTGTTCCTGCCTGCAAGTCTAGCCTTTGGCTACAGGGCTATACCTAGAGGCTGTTAGCTTGTAGTGGTTAGGAACAGAAACCTGGGTGCCAGGCTGCTTGAGCTCCGCCATTCCTGACATCTGTGACTTTCTGGCAAGCTACTCTCTGTATGAACAATTTGCATCTTCAATATGGGAGTAACTGTACCTACCTCATAAGGTTTTGCAAGGATTAAATAATATAACATGTATAAAATACTTAGTAGAGTATTTAATTTTAATTGTTTGCAATTATTTTGTCTCAAGGGTGACACACTAATAGGGGACTTGTTTATAAAGAACTGTGAACCAAAAAGCAAGGTATTTGGCAGTAGGTTGACTTCCTCAGCACTAGGACTGGTACCATTCTTTTCTCTGAGGGCTTCCACTAAGGGCTTTTAGCTTCGAGTCTCTAGCCAAGTACACTCCCCACTCAGTTCACACTCATGAATACCTCGTAGTGAAAATACAAAGGTTAGGAGAAACCTGCCATGGCTGGAGGGTCTAGAAGCTACACTGGAAGGGATACTCCTCTAGGGTGCTGCAGTGGGGTCTAACTAGCCCCAAGGGCCTGAGTGCTTTCTCTGTTCTCCCTGTTAATGTAAGAGGTTGGTGATTTCAGGACATACCTACACCTGTGACTAGTATCCAAGTCTGCGGTGGGTGTGTGGCTTTGGTGATGGCTTTAGCTAGCAAGTGGGTGGTATCCAGGCGGCTGTTAAGAACCTCTTTTTGGAAAGCCTCGTTCCATCTGCAGAGAAGATGAAAAGGTCAGAAGTACCGACACACATCCAACCCATATCCTCACTACTCATCTGTCCTACCCCTTTACACCTGCCTATTCTTCCCATCAGCCAGTTGCCCTACATCTATCTTAATGCATAACTCAGGGTGGCTAAGACAGCTAAGACTGTTCTCCCCTCCATAATAGGCATGGACTATGTCTCTTTAGCCACAACAATGGGCTTTCTTAGACACAGATATAGAACGCCTCCAATGTTAAGAGACACTTTGCACAGTGTATGTCTGCCGTGCATAGCTCACAGGAGTCGACCTTCTGTCCCTGTGCAAGTGACACTGCTTTATGGCCCAGCTGACCTTCGCAGAGGGTTGAGGATGTTCTCTCCAGCCAGGTTGATGACAACATCGCAGAGGGGCAGCCCTGACCTAGTGAGCTCACTCTGTTGGAGAAAGCACAGGACCTGCTGGTACAGTTCGTGGTGCGCAAACTGCCCTCCCACCCACCTTGCTGAGGCTGGACGTACCCACGTGATTCGACCCGGCCCAGGCTGTCTGGAGACCAATGTAACTTTGTGGCCCTTGGCTTTCAGCAGCTGGGTTAGGGCTGTCCCGATGAATCCCGTCCCGCCACCTGATGGGAGAGCACAAACTGTTTATACTCCGCGAGGAGGCAGGAGGCAGGCCGGGCTGTCCTTTTTGGTGCACCCTCGGCCACCAGGCCTCTCCTCCACTCTACCCCCCTCCCCCGCCCCGCAATGCAGAGGTGACACAGGACACGGGGTTTCAGGGATTCAGCTTTGGGGGCTGGGAAGCCAAGGCTAGGTTGCTTGCTTAGAAGACCACGTCCGGTGGGGTTGGTCTCCCAGCTCTCGGCCTCAGCCTAAGCCCGCCCGCGACTCTCCCAGTCCTCCCTCACCCACGAGCACCCGCATAGCGACGGGGAACCAACACGCCTGCGCGAGATTTAAAGCGGGACGCGACTACGCGCCTCAGCTCACGTGAATCGCAGGACTAGGTGTGCGCCACCCCACTTCCCCCGACCCGGAAGGAGTTATAGCAATATCGAAAGACCCGTAAATTTCCGTGGGAAGAGAGGTTGATGACGCAAAAGACAGGGGAGGACGACGCGCAGAAATACCCGCTCCTAAAGAAACAGACACATTTCCAGACCTCAAAGTGCTAGATGCTTCTGTCTTCAAGGACTTTAAGGACGAATTTTGGCGTCTGTTGATTGCTCCGCTTCCTTTAAATTCTTAAACTATAGATAATGTTGCTAGTTGGATCCTAGGACCCTCTTTTCACCCTCTATGCTCCCTTGCTCGCCAGCCCCTCTTTTCCCTCTTTGTGTTTGTGTGTGCTAGAGAGTGCATGTGAGGAGATAGTCCTCTGTCACCCTCCACCTTCCTTTTCGACCCAAGGTCTCACTGAACCTGGAGCTCACAATTGCCTAGACTGGCGCCTGCTGTGTTCCCTGAGATTAATGGTGCTGGTTACAACTGACTTTTATAGTTCCAGCTTTTCATAAAGGTGGTTGGCGATCAGAATTAAGGTCTTGCTGATGCCTGTGCAGCAGTCTGCCCACCAAGCCAACTCAGGTCTCTCGTTTCCATCCACCGTCATCCTGGCTGCCCACAACATATAGCCCCTGTCTGTTATCATCTGTGTTGTGAATTAAATCACGAATTCTTCATAGAACCCCCCAAATGTATGCAATTCAGATCTCTTCTTCGAGTTCCTGACTTCCATACAAACCACTCATTTCAAGAAGAAAAGTATGTGTTTGGTAGTTTTGCCTGCTTGTGTGTCCCGGTACCACGTGGGTGCCTGGTGCCCTTCCAGGTCAGAAGTTATGGTATTCCCCAGAACTAGAGTTCAAACGGTTGTGAGGTCCTGTATGGATGCTGGCTCTCCAGCCCAGGTCCTCTGGAAGACTATCAAGTATTCTTAGCCACTGAACCATCACCCCAGCGCCTCTAGATCTCTGGTTGCCTGAAATGTAGTTGATTTTACTTACTAAAAATCTCTCAGACTTATTTCTGTCTCTGCTAATTACAACCCTCATTCCAGTTATTCTGTCTAAACTCCCGGAACACTTTCCTAATAGGTTTTCTGATTTTGAGTTTTTTTTTTCCTCCACCTACACAATGAAAGCTGAATGATCATTGAATAACACATGACACCCTCTAAGTTAGTGCCTTTGTCTCTTATTGCCCATTGTTACCTTCTTTTTCTTTTGTACTTTGAAATTTTATTTTTACAAAATTCCATTTTATCAAATATCCCTGCTAAATCCATTTAGCAACAACTGCCATTTTGATAATCTAGTTATCCATATTCAGTTGGATTTTTTTAAACCATCTTTTACCACCCTCCAGGTGATGTCTGATCGTCTTGATTGGTGTGTATATATAAGATCCCTTTCTCATTGCTGTGGCCAAATACCCTACACAAGCAGCTGAAGAGAAGTGGTTCTTTTGGCTCCCAGTTTGAGGCTACAATCCTTCAAGGCCTGCAAGGTGTGGTGGCTGAAAATGGATTTGTCTAGTCGGGAAGCCAAGAGTTGAAGGCTGGGGCTCAGTTTACTTTATCCTTTGTTTCAGTCTGGGACTCCAGTCTATGGGATACTGCAGTCCACAGTCAGGCCGAGTCTTCCCCTTTCAGCTAAACTTCTCAGGAAATGCCCTGACAGACACACCTAAGCATGTGTCTCCTAGGTGATTTCAAATCTAGTCAGGTTGACAGTGAAGATTAACCACCCTATCTGTCTTCAGTAAAACCTGTTAGGTAGGCGTAGCCAGAAGTCCACACACCCTGATACTTCCTCACAGCTATGATATTAAATAGAAAGGGAAGTTGCAGAAGTATTTACGCTATAATTCCACTTAATTATTAAAAGCAAGCAAAACTATGATATTTTAAATAAATAGATTATAAAAGTAAAAAAATGCATGAGAATAATGCAAAACTCAGGGTAGCATTTTCCTGTGGAGGCAGAGTATGACAGGGAGGAATACTGTAGCAGTTCCAATGTAATTGGCCTTCATAATATCACAGGTAGTGGCACTTGTAGGAAATGTGACTTTGTTGGAGTAGATATGGCCTTGTTGGAGGAAGTATGTCACTGTGGGGGTGGGCCTTGAGGTTTCCTGTGCTCAGAATATCACCAGCGAGTCAGCTGACTTCCTCTTACCTGCACGATGTAGCATCCTCAGCTCCATCACCATGTCTGCCTGCACGCTGCCGTGCTCCCCATCGCGATAATGGACGGAACCTCTGGAACTGTAAGTGAGACACCCCAATTAAAAGTTTTCCTTACCAGCTCGAGCAGTGGCTCAGAGTGGTAGGAGCGTCTAACGCTGTGTCCTGGCGCGGTGCCAAGGTTCACGGGTTAGAATCCCGCCTGCTCTAGCTGCTATCGATCGTCATGGTCACTGCTATATGATCAATCGATGGTGAAATTGGCATATCGCTGCTAATAATAATCGGAAAAAAAAAGTTTTCCTTATAAGAGTTGCCGTGGTTATGGTGTCTCTTCTTAGCAATAGTAACCCTAACTAAGACAAGTACCTGGGGAACTCTAATTTCTTAGATCAAGTGATGGGTCCAGGCTATTCATTTTATTAATCTTGGTATTGCCTGAACTATTTTATAACAAAAGTACATTAATTCAAAATTTATTGTTATATTTCAGGTGTGGAAAAAGTATAATTTTGCATAACTTTATTTTCTTCTTTTTATTTATTTATTTTTGGGACGAGGTTTTATTTTGCAGTCCAGACTGACTTCAGATTCACAGCAATCCCCCTGTTTCAGCCTCCCATATTCTGGAATCCAGGTTTGAATCACCATGTGCAGATTGTAAGTTTACTTTTTAAAATGAATTTGCTCATGAATATCTCTTGAACAAATGAAATTTGCTGGCAAATGGATGGAACTAGAAAAGATTACCCTGAGTGAGGTAGCCCACACCCAGACAAATGTGATATTTACATTTATAATTAGATATTAGTCTTTGTGGTAGTTTGAATGTAATTGACCATCATGATCTCAGGGAGTGACACTATTAGGAGGTGTGGCCTTGTTGGAGTAGCTGTGGTCTTGTTAGGGAAAGTGCTATTGTGAAGGCAGGCTTTGAGGTCTCATGTATGCTCAAGCCATGCCCAGTGAGTCGGTCCACTTTCTGTTGCCTTCTGATTAAGATGTAGACAGCACCATGTCTGCCTGCACATTGACATGCTCCCTGCCCTGATGATAATGGACTGAACCTCTGAAATTGTGAGTGAGCCACCCCAATGAAATGTTTTCTTTATAAGAGCTGTTGTGGTCATAGTGTCTCTTCATGGTAATAGAAACCCTAACTAAGATGGCTATTAAATAAAGATTAACCATACTACAATCTACAGACTCTGACAAGATCAGTAACAAGGAGGGATCAAGGGGGATGCATGAATCTCACTGTTAAGATGAAATAGAATAGACCATTGCTGGTGGACAAGGGGAGGCCTCTGGATGGAAGTTAGGAACAGGAGAAATCAGGTAGAGGGAGGATGGAGGGAGAAAGTACTGGGAGAGACAACTGGAATGAGGGGTATCTCTGGGATGAGCTAGAAACCTAGTACAATGGAAACTCCCAAGAATCTATGAAGGTGACCCTAGCTAAGACTCCTAGCAATGGGGCAAACCATGCCTTAACTGGCCATCTTCTGTAACCAGGCAAGACTTTGAGTGGAGGCACTTGGGCATCAACCCGTCTACAAAACCTTAGACCTACAGTTTGTCCTACCTTCAAGATGTGCATGGGTAAAAGTCACAAATAAATTGTGGGAGTGGCCAGACAATGACTGGTCCAGCTTGAGACACGACTCCACCTCTGACAGGACCTGGAGGGCCACGACCCAGACGTTACATAGCCCAGAGATCTAGAATAGAAGCAAACACAATTGGGAAAAAAAAAGTCAACGAAGTGATTCCTAATGATATTCTGCAGTACTCATAGATTGTTGCCTAGCCCAGTTGTCATCAGAGAGGCTTTACCCAGCAACTGATGGAAGCAGAGGCAGAGACCCACAGCCAAACATTAGGTGAATCTCAAGGAATCCCGTGGAGGACCTGAAGGAAGGAATATAGGAGCCAGAGGGTTCATGGACACCACAAGAAAACCCACAGTATCAACTAACCTGGGCTAATAGAGGCTCACAGAGACTGAACCAACACCCAGGGAACATGCATGGTCTGACCTAGGCCTTCTGTATATATGTTACAGTTATGCAAATTTCATTGTATTCTTATAAAAAATGACCAAGTTTAGTAAATCTAATAATATACCCGTGAAAAAGAAATTAGAAGTTAGTAGAATGATCTGCTCTTTAAAGGCTTTGGCTCAGAGATGGAAAAAACCATTCTGAAGCCTGGGCAGGACATACACCTTCAAGAAACATCATTTTATAGTCAGTAACCCCAGAGAAGCCAGGAAACAAGAAGGACCCTAAGAGAGACATACAGGGATCCCTCTGGGAAGGGGAAATAGACAAGATCTCTGGAATAAACTGGGAGTATGGAAGGTGGGGGAGGGTGGAGGGTGGAAAGGGATTGGGAAGTGGGGAGAACATGAGGGATCTGGAAGGTTGAGTTGGGGTAAGGACAGAGAGGAAAAACAAGGAAAGAGCTATCTTGATTGATGGAGCCATTCTGGGGTTAGTGAGAAACCTGGCACTAGGGAAATTCCTCAAAATCCACAAGAATATCCCAGCTAAGAATATAAGCATTAGTAGAGAGGGTACCTTGACTGCCCTTCCCCTGTAATCAGATTGATGACTACCTTAATTGTCATCATAGAACCTTCCATACAGTAACTGATGGAAGCAGATGCAGAGATCCACAGCTAAACTCTGGACCAAGGTCCTGAAGTTCAGTTATATATATAGAGGAACAGTAATATGAGCAAAGGGGTCAAGACCATGATAGGGAAACCCACAGAAATAGCTGACCCGAGCTAGTGGGAGCTCACTGACTCTGTACTGACAACTGGGGAACCTGCTTAGGACCAAACTAGGCCCTCTGAATGTGGGTGACAGTTGTGTGGCTTGGGCAGTTTGTGGGGTCACTGGCAGTAGAACCAGTATTTATCCCTAGTGCAAGAACTGGCTTTTTGGAGCCCATTTCCTATGGAGGGATACCTTGCTCAGCCTAGATGTGGGGGACGGGGGACAGGGCCTTAGTCCTGCCTCAAGTGATGTGACAGACTTTGTTGACTCCCCAAGGGAGGCCTCACCCTCTCTGAGGAGTGGTTGTGGGATGCTGTGTGTGTGTGTGTGTGTGTGTGTGTGTGTGTGTGTGTATGTGTGTGTATGTAAGGCAGGGGAGTGGGAGGAGGGGAGAGAGAGGGAAATGGAATTGGTATGTAAAATAAAAAGATTGTTTTAAAAAATAAAATAAAAATAAAAAGAATTTGAATGACAATATGCTACTTGTGTTCAACATCAAGATAAGGGTTAGAGTCTGCAGAGAGTAGAAAGGTTTATGAAAAAAATGTGTGTTCTGATGTTATCTCCAAGTACCCAGTGATAAGATTTAAATACATCATTTAATACTCTAAAAAAGAATGTGACATTTTGACTACTCTCATTCTGAGTTTGAACAAGCATTCAGTATCTTTGTCATATTTAATTTTATAGATGAAATACAAATATTAAAATCAGTTTGACTTTATATGTTGATATCTACAAGGCATTGAGTGGAAGTGGAAAATGAATGGAAGAACATCTGCTAAAGCAGAGAGCCTCTGTGCTGTAATAATAGGAGTTAAAAGACCATGAGGAAGTTACAGAGTAAAGAGGATTGTGTTGCATACGTGACATCATTACTGGTCCAATCACAGTCCAACAGCAGGCAATGGTCCATGCTCCACAAAGTCTCCAGAAAGACTGAGGATGTAGTTCAGTCAGTAGAGTGCACCCCCAAGTTCCTGGTTTGGCTGCCAGCATGTGTAAATTGTCCATGGCATACACATCTGTAATTCTAGCACTAGGAAGGTAAAGACAGGAAGATCAGAAATTGAAAGACATTTTAGCTATGTAACAAGGTTGAGTTCAGTCTTGATACCTGAAATTGTCTCAAGAAGGAGGAGGAAGAGAAGAAAGAAGAGGAGGGGGAAGAGGTGGAGGTAGAATCTAACCAAACAGGTTATACTTCAATATCCTAGGTGATTTTGTTGCTTTTTCTTTTTACATTTTGGTGTCTTCTCTTTTTCCTTTTCTCCGTTAAGACAGACATCTGTCCAGCATACACCACGTCTAACATCTGTGGAGGATAGATTCCATGATGCCCCTCAGTCTCCATCACAAACAGTGCTGAAACACATTATACTTTCTCCAGTACATACATCTGCACCTATGAAAAACTTTAACATTTCCACTTGAGGGCAGCATGTGTCTGCTCTTGCATATCTAAATGGCAGCAAAACACAGCACTATGATCCTCGAAAGTCATCCTGATGACACAGCTGATGACACAGGCTGGCAGCATGGACAGCAGGGCGATGCTGGAAAAGATGCTTTGTGTCAGAACTGAGGGATTTTGGATACTGCCAGGAAGAACGGGTGATTTAAAACAAATAAACTGCTTATTTCTGAAGTTTCCATTTAAAATTATAACCCATGAGTAAATGCAGGAACTACAAAACTGAAAAAGTTAAACTAGGATGAGGAAGAAACTCTGTGTATTTGCTGAGTGCCTAACTGCCTGCTGTAGGGGGAGTGCTCGGGTGTCTTCCATGACACACAGGCTTCTAATCTTCATTCTAGGCTCAGCACTCAGGAACAGAAAACTGAAGCCTACTGAAGATGCCTGTGTGTCCAGACAAGACGATGAAGGAAAGGGTGAGGACATTGCTTAGTCCGGTCAGAGAAGATCCTGATGGAGGAGAAGATTGAACTGTCTTCAAACCATAGTAGGTTTTCCAGTGGAAAAGATACATAACATAGTTCTAGGCACAGATCATATCAGTGTGGCAAACGAGTGAACCAAGTATGGGTGACAGCCTTAGAAATGTACCTTAGAGAAGGTGATGTGGCTACCACCTTGAAGAGTAGCATGCATCTTCATAGTGTTCAACTGCAAATTCCTATTGTCAAAATTATGGGCCAAAGATAAATAGATATGGGTAAACAGTTCAATAGATGCATGTATTTGCTCTAACAAAACTTAAGCAGCATAGGAGACAATTTACTTATTTTAAATAATAATCTCTAGCTTATGGAAGAACCACAAGCTTCACCTGCTCTAAAGCAGCACTACCCCTCTGGGGACAAATAGGAAGGTCTTCACACAACAATGTCCTGAGCTTAGAAGCCCATGCCTTGAAGAAAGGCAGTGAATCTTTCTCTGGAGCCAAGATTTTTGAGATGGAAAGAGATTTTTGTCTGTGTTGAGGTCAGCTTAGCATTGTTTTCTTTCCCTTCCCTTCCAACCTTTTCTTTTTTTTCTTTTTTAATATTTATTTATTTATTATGTATACAATATTCTGTCTATGTGCATGCCTGAAGAGGGCACCAGGCCTCATTACAGATGGTTGTGAGCCACCATGTGGTTGCTGGGAATTGAACTAAGGACCTTTGGAAGAGCAGGCAATGCTCTTAACCGCTGAGCCATCTCTCCAGCCCCCCCACCTTTTCTTTATACATCATCATATTTCCTAATCTATCTTGCCTAAAACTATTCTGTCTTTAAACATGAGAGAAGCTCTTCATAAGAAATGAGGAAATGCCAATGCTTATTACTCACAATCAAGCTTTATAAAATAAGAGATGATTGAATTTGACATGAGTTATCTTATTGTAACTCTTATATAGACATATGGTGATCATTAAGTCATAAACATTCTTCTTTCACTAAATATTTTGTTATTGCCTTTATTTTTGAGATTATAATTACAAATCAATTCCCTTTTTCCTTTCCTCCTTCCAAAGCCTGCCATATATTCCTCTTTGCTGTCTTTCAAATTTATGCTTCTTTCACTAATCACTGTTAAATATGGATGTATATACATGGTTATTCCTAGATACATAAATACAAACTGTTAAGTCTAAATAATACTATTTGTAAGTATGTTTTCAGGGCTGAACAATCAGTACTGGATAACCAATCGGTGTGTTCTTCTCTGGGAAGCATTATTTCTCACACTCCCATCATTCATTAGGTTTCAGTACTTTGCTGTCTAGGATTGAGGCTCTGTGCACTTTCCTCCCTCCAGTTTAGTATGTCTATTGTTGTTGTCCTGTTCATCTCAGCCTTTGACAGTCATGGTCTTCATCCGTGTAGCCTCCAACAGTCTTAGGAGACACAATTTCACAACAAACTCCCTGATATCTGGCTTTTTATCATATTCCCTCTCCTTTTTTTGTCAATATTTCCTGAACCTTAGATGCAGGAGTTATATTGTAGTCATAGCCATTGGGACTAGGTTCTCCAACTCTGCATATTGACTGCTTCTGTTTTCTGCAATGGCCTCCATCTGTTAGTAAAGTCGTGGATTTTATAGGGGAACCTACAGCCACCACTTTACTAAAACAGCACAGTCTATATTCTGACAGGGTCTACTCGCTTGACTCATATTGGATGAGCCATTCATTTTATTTTGTTGAGTTGTAAGACTTTTTAGATATTCTATTTAAAGTTAGTTGGACAAGATATTTGTGTATTTTCTCATAGTTGCCTGCCTCATTGTTTTCTTAAAGACATTCAGACGTCTGTCTAGAAAACATCCGAGCAACGATGAGTAAGTTAAATGTATGAAAGGGTATAAAATAGTGAGTTAAAAGATTCAGTAACTTCAATTACCTCAAAGTCTTCTATAAATTAAATAACAGCACTAAAGCTTCAAGCAACATTTTTTTTTTAAAATTGATGAATTAAATGGAGACCTGCCCGCTGTGGGCAGCACCATTCTGTGGGAAAGCAACCTGGGTCATAGGAAGTGTGAGTCTGTGACTGAGCTAGCAACAGAGTCTCCTCAGGGTTTCTGTTTGAATCTCCTGTTTGAGTTCTGGCCTTGGTTACCACTAATGATGGACTAAGACCTGGCAGTGAAAGCTAAATAAATCTTTTCACCTTCCAAGTAGCTTTTTCTCAGAGAGTTTTATCACAGCAACAGAAAGGAAGTTAGAACATTCAGCTCTCTGTACATTCTGTATCTCCCATGGCTTGATGTTCTTGCTGTTGCTGCAGTTTGTTTTCTCCTCAAAAATCCTGATCCTGTCCACAGCAGGGTTACCTGGGAGCCTGCCTGTGCCTTTCCTTCCCTTTTCTCTTTATTTGTTGCGAATTCATCACACCGCGGCTTACATGATCACATTGACTTAGTTCTCTAACCAGCTTTTCTGTTGGTTCTAAGAAGGACACATTTATGATTCAGGAGGGAATATATTTTGAGAATTTAAAGACACAAATCCTTAATCTACATGGCTAAAATCTTACACAAGGTTAAAACTCAAAACTCTACCTATACAGAAAAGGGATATTAAATCAAACAAATGACCTTTGGTGGAATTCTGATGAGTTATGACAGGGATCACAAGGACCATACCCACCCAGCTGAAGGTTGTGTACTGACTGCCGGTGTGTGGGGAGCACTATGAATCCACGGCACAGAAATAAGTGCCTGAGTCTGTGGTCTGAGAGGAGGAAATGTACAAAGAGCTGCAGAGTTCCTGGATGACTGTCGTGGACTTCAGTCTTCCACTCTGCTTTGTTTCAGAAGGATTGTAAAACAGACTGATGAGGTGTCCCCCAGGACTTTGGTAAAACCACTGCATTTGGTTTGCAGAAGTGGAAAAGTTGCACTGCAGCTCTGTGCTCTCTCCCTCCTGCAGCACCAAGGACACAGGACTCTGCTTCACTTGCTGCCCGTTCACCCCTGATTAGAAACAGAGAAAGAGACACAGGTGGAGGTCACTGAGCATCCACAGAACTTTGAACACCCTGCCATGTCCTTTGAGAAGGTGGGAGCTCTGCAGGACCCCTGAGCTGCTTCCCCACCCTCCATGTGCTGAGCAGAATCCTCTCTGTCCCCTGGTGAACAACCACACTCACAGCAAACCTGGGTGCACAGTAGCCCCAACAGAGAGCACAGCAGCCTTTTCATGGTGTTTGTCTGGCTGCTGGAGACAGAAGCAAGTAACCAACCCCTGGGCTGTGGTGTCAGGACGGCTGTTGAAGTGTCCCTTTTCCTGCAACCAGTCAGTTCCACCCAGGAACCCTGCCAATCTAGATGCTACAGAGCTTCCTCCCAGCCTTCTGAGCCTGAAGCTCCTCCCAAACTAGACCTGGCTAAGAGGCTGGGTGTAGCACAAGTGGGGGCAGCATTTTGTGATGACCCTGGGGTTGGGTGGAGTTAGAGATGTTGGAAGCAGGAGAGGACCAGCCCCTCAAAGGGAGAACAAACCTTAGCCCACACAGAGACTGGCACACTCAGAGAAGCAACAGCTAAAGATTTAACTCAGAAGACAGGTCCATGTTCTGTCAAAAAATCCTTTACTGAGGCCAGAAAAATAACTCAACAGGTAAGGGTCCTTGTCCTTCTAGATGGCCTTAATCCTCCCTAGCAGCTACATCAGGAGGTTCACAGCTGCCTGTAACTCCAATTCCAGGGGATCTGTTACTCTCTTCTGTCCTCCTCAGAACGTGCACACAAATACCACACATTTTTACAGAGCCACTATCATACTAAAATAACAAGATCTTCACCCAGGAAATAGTTCAAGTAAAATCACCATAGTAGAAAAAGAAAAGAAACAGCAACACAATGACAGAGTAAGTATAAATGCACAAGTTTTTAAAGTTTGAGAATTCATTTTAAAAATTGGGATACTCCTACTCCAATCAAGATTTGCTCTAAATGTTGATTAAAAATGAGACTGCATCATAAGGAAGTGGGCTGGGGAAAGCTAATGCAGGAGTGCTGCAGCCAGAGTGGCAGGGGCAGCGGAGCTGCTGGGCTTTCGCATATGGTGAATGCAGGGAACCACACAGTGTGCATTTGTAGCAACAGAGAAATACATTTTAAGGATTTCACATTCAGATTAACTGCTTGAGAAATGAGATTAGTAATGAAAAGCAACACTGCAATCTCCTCCAATAACTCATAGCCAAACTTACCCCATCTCAGCCCACCACTGTCTCCAACAGTATTAGATCAGTGAGTGCCCCTGAGCCTTGCAGGGTATTTTAGATGAAAATTTGACTGAAGTAAAAGCTTTCCCAGAAAACTGCTGTTTCCCTCTGAACAGAGACCCTCTTTAGAGCTGAGTTCCCCACACAGCACTGATGCTGCAGGAGGATGCAGAGCCCAGTTGGTGCCCCAGCCTGATGGCTGCATCTGTGCATTTGCAGCAGGTGCTCTGGCGCTGAGGGGCAGCTACTCATTTCTTGTCCTCAGGGCCATAGTTCTACTGAAGGAGAAATCAGAACTTTTCTTTGCAAAATGAGAAACAAGCAAATGGCAACTGAGATCTATCCCACAGGAATGAAGCATTTCCCAAGATTCCGCTTTTTCTATACTGTTGCATTTATGGAATGTGCCAACTCCCTAAAAGTGTCTGAGACTCTGGTCTCTTACTCTGTAGTTTCAGGTGGTTTGTGTCTAGCTCTGCTGAGTGTGCATTTGTGATTCAGGGCAGAGGATCACCCACCTCCCTCAGTCCCATTGTCAGGGGATCTACAGATCTACAGGTGCTATGTGTTCCCACCCTTCCCATAATCAGTCTGAAGACTCTCCATGGCTGAGACAGGCGGGCTTCCTGGTGTGAGCGCCAGGAGGTTCCGGAGACCCAGGTGAGGGTGCTGCACATGCAGGAAAGGACCCTGACAGACAATCTTCACTTTGATGAACTCAGATCAAATTCAACATCATTCAGACTGATGAGGGATGTAGTTACCGGTGCAGTCCTTTTGCATTTCTTAAAAAAAATACAGCGTAATTCAGAAGTGTCACCTGCTATATCTTAGGTCCTGCCCTCAGGAGGAGACTGTACCATGCATGGACACCAGGGGGCAGGAGTTACGAGCGAGCAACTACCTTCTGTAGTGGCATTTCGTTTGTATTTTAATAAATAAAGCTGGCCTGAAGATCAGAAAAGTAAAACAGCCCCACTGGTCAGCCTGACAGACCAGGCAGTGGTAGGTAACACACCTTTAATCCCAGTAGCTACACTAGTTTGCCATAGAAAGCAGGTGGTGCATACCTTTAATCCTGGTGGCACACACCTTTAATCCTAGAACTAGAGAGGATTATAAAACAGGAGGAGACAGCTCTCAGACACAGTCTCATTCTGAGATTCTTGGAGGCAGGATTGGCATTTCAGACTGAGGTAGAAGTCAGAGCCAGTGGCTGGCTGTTTTGCTTTTCTGACCTTCAGGTTGAACCCCGATATCAATCAAGGGAAGCCAAGGCAAGATCCCAAGGCAGGGCCTTGAAACCACAGAGGAACACTGCTCACTGATCAGCTCAGCTAGCTTTCCTCTGTGGCCCAGGCTCACATGCCTAGGGATGGTGCTATCTATGCACACAGGGCCAATCACTCTTAAATCAATTAACAATCAAGAAAATGCCAAAGAAACATGCCTGCAAGCCAGTTTGATGGAGTCAGTTCTTCAACAATATGTCAAGTAGACAGCAAAGATTAAAGATCACAGCAAGACCTAAAGTAGAAAACATAATCCTCTGCTTACTGCTTAGAAAATTGAGCCTCCATGAATGGAATTCTATGTCCAACGTGAAATTTCAATTGTAGGAAGAATCATTTAAAAGGACTTATGTCGGGAAATAATGCTATGCTTACATAAAGAGTGACAATAAGCCCAAGTCACAAAGGAAAATTTGGTAAGTTTGACTTCTTAAAGCCCTTTTTGGAGGCTGTAGGGTGGACATGGGGAGGGACTGTTGGCTGCTTGCACCTTTGACCATCCCTCCGGTGTTTTGGTAGAGAATTCCCATCAAAAGCCCTACTCCTTACTACAGAGACTAGGTCTCAAATCCAAGTCTGAAGCATCAACTGCATGCCAGAGCTTATGTTCTAAAGAAATGGAGGAGTCCAGTCTGCTTGATAATTTGGGAAAGTCTGTATCCCTTTTTCAGAGCCATAGATGTTGTAAGTCTCTGAAGCAGCCCTAGGCACATTGTCTAATGACAGCATTCTTAGTGACACACACCGCGGTGCCCCGTTCATCACGGCAGTGTCAGCGGTGTCTTCTCTGGTATGATTTGACTCTGGAGTTTGATTTGTTTCCTAGTACCGCTGTCTCAACTCCTGCTTCTCTGACCCTCGGAGAAACTTCAAATAGACACTTTTGCTTTGAAATCAATAGGAAGCTTCTAGCTGTTGTTTAAAATGAAGACCACACAGAAGTCATCCCAGTTCCTCCTGTTTTAGGAAGGAGTTTTGCTCATCACAGGATGCATGGAGTAAGTAATGTGCAGTCTGGTGGTCTGGAGGAGACACTCCACTCTTGCTGATAGGTCCAGTGTGCTTGTTGTTTAATCTTTTCTTCATTTTTTCTTTAAAGAGTCCCATTTTCTGCCTATGGACACTTTTCCACTGTAGTTACTACCAGACATAATGTAATCCTTTGAATTTCAAAATTTCAATTATAGAGAAAGACCACATTCTTAACTTATTGGGTTTCTAGCTGATTTCCTCTTACTCAAGAAACCAAAGACTGGTATTACATCCTATTTTAGCTGTCCATGGCCATAAAGAGGCCACTGAAAGTCATCATGACCATGGGATCTAAAACTGATCCACATTTAATTGTTGATTAGCGGCACCCCTTCCTTTCAATCTCTGATGGAGCCATTTGCTCAAGAAGATTAGTAGTTTAAGAATTTGATAGCCTCAGTTGTCAGTGTGACTACATTAGGGATTAACAATAACCCCAAAATAGAGGGTACACCTGGGGACTGAAGCAGGAAGAACTTCTTTCATCTGGATATTTGAGGTAGGAAGTCATGCTTTTAATTCAGATCTTGAATCCAGATTCAGTCTGGACCACTCCTTCAGCTGGAAGCCTACATAAGTACATGGAAGAAGGAAGCTTTTACTTTTTCTCTGCTTGTTCTCATTTTGCTAGCACATCCATTCCTCCCCTGGCATCAGAGCCTACTTTTTAAAGATTATACCATACGCTGCAGACCAGTTGAGAGGTTCAGTCTTCTGGCCTGAGCAACTCCTGGATTCTTGGACTTTCCATCCATAGCCAGTCATTGTTGGGTAAGTTAGAGCACAGCTTATAAGTCATTCTAACAAATCCACTTTCAATATATGGAGAGATCCATTTTATAATTTCTGTTACTCTAGAGAGCCCTGACTAATACACAGGCATGGAGAGAGGGCAGTCTAGAGCAGTTTGGGTCTCATAACAGTCTGAGCTCACTTACAAATTATCAATAGTCACTTTCCCATAACCTCAGCCTTCCCCAGGTGATTTTTCACTTCAGAGGGCTCAACCCTCCTCCTCCACATAATCTTGACTTAATTTCTTAGCATGCTTTATTTCTCATATAATTGGGTATGGATGTTCAGGAGGGGAAGGGCCATTCTTGGGCAGTGCTTATAAAGTGAACATTCAACTCTCCAAGGGTGAAGCAGAGAAATGATTCTAATGAAGGAGAGAAATCTCTAGTTTTGGGAGGAAGAGATGCTGAATGACTTCCCCTGTGTCACAGGAGAGACTCATGGAAAGAAAACCTCAGCTTCTGCTTAGTTCAGGGAGAAATAGTTAGCAAGGAGGTAAAGGCTATGCCCGTGACATCAGCAGTTCCTTCTCTGGAAATTCTACTGTATCCTGGAGAGCTCTTGGAATCCTGTGATGTCATTTGTGTTGTAGCAACACCAACTGCCCTCAGGAGGACATTCGTTGAGTGCCTATAAGATTCACTTATAGACATGTTGTCTAGACTGAGGAACTTACTTTGGAGAGAGAATGGAGATCAAGGAGAGATCAGAGTGAGGCAGAAGGAAGCAGGGAGAAACAAATGGTCCTGGGGAAGACGCAGTGAGTTCACGGAAGGGACTAGGAAGCTTTCTGAATGTGATGGCCTTGAGCCGTCCAGGGCTAGGGCTCAGGAACTATGGGTTTCTGGGACACAATAGGCCAATCTTGTTTCTCTGAGTTTCTAAAGGGCCAACCCACATCAAGGATTCATGATTGTTAATTTGACAGAGTCAGGAATTGACAAGACTGTAGCCTTTGTGTTGGAGATCCTCTGAATTCACTCTGAGTGGGGAAGGAGGCACAGTGGAATTAGTTAGATTTCAATACCAGAATTGCACTTTTCCCCCAGTGGAGTCCTTTAGGTTGTGTGCCAATAATAATAGGAAAAGGAGAGTGCTCTGGAAAAGCCTGAGGTTATTATGCTTTACATAACAGTCATTAGCAGGGCTGAGGCATCAAGTAATTCTCTCTTCCATTGACTCCTAAGGCTTCTGACTTCCCAGTTATGAATGATACCCTGGTCTCCAGTTCAGCCTGAGAGCTATTAGAGACAGTTGTGAGAGAGACTGGGAAGAGACTGCGATTTTTTGTTTTGTTTTGTTGAGACAGGGTTTCTCTGTGTATCTTGCGCTGTCCTGGAACTCATTCTGTAAATCAGGCTGGTCTCAAACTCACAGAGATCTGCCCACCTTTGTCTCCAGGCTTCTGAAAGCACATGACTGAGGTCTACGAAGTCAAGGGGCATTCTCTGTAGCTCTGAATAAGCCTTAGAAAGCTTTCCTCTGGGTCACCTTGTACAGGGAGACAGAGGTAACCAGGTGACTTCTGAATGACAGACAGGCACCTCCCTATAGAAAGAAGGGAGAACTGACACCCGCAAAGGTGACTCAATCTGATATTTCAGATTCTACTTGGGCAAAGTCTTATCTGTCAGTCACTTCCTGAACATCCTTCAGTGTGTCAGATTTGACTGAGATGAGGTTCTGTCCTTTGATTTCTAGAATTGGGTATTACTGAGACACCTAATCCTGTCTAACATGGTTGTCAGTGTGAATGACATGTGAATGGACATAGTTCATCCCACATCACTCATTTGTTCTGGGGTCCACCTAGTACACTTCTGAAGCCAGAGTCAAGACTTCTGGTGAGCTTTCAATCTAGGCTGAACATGATGCTAGTTCTTCATTTTCAGGAGGCCAGTAAATTCAAAAGTGTGAAGTGGGCTCAGTAAGTCCTGGGCAGGGAATTAGAAGGTTCCTGGAGGAGGTGAAGGGCTTGGCATCTGGGAACTTCTTGGAAGCACTGGGCTTCTCCTACTTCTCTGGGTTCCCCAAAAGAATGCCTAGAGTCAACAGTTACTGATAGTTAGTTTGGGAGGGCCATGAATTGCCAATTGTACAGCTATTTTTTTTTCCTGAGAGAGTCTTAATCTCATTCTGGGTGGAAAGGGAGGCCAGCAGGAGCAAAGGAGGGACTAATTAGGTGTTCCTCTCAGGTAAGGGTGTTGCTGCACTTCATCCTAGTGGATTCCTTCAGTTTCCATGGAAATCTGGTATAAATAAGAAGAGAGGGGAACTCCCCTGGCCATGCACCAATGTCTCAGACATTCAGATGTTTTGGTCCTGGCACATGTGATCAGGACTTAGTGCTGTTAAGCACTAGGGACAACAGGAGTTACTTGTATCATATCAGATATGAGGTGACACTGTCCTCCAAATCCGTACGACTGGGTTAACTTGTACCTTTCAGGGACAGGGACTGCATTAGGGAGCAAGGCATATGCCTAGCCCTGGTGTATGAAGACAGAGACAAAGCTCATTGAGGATAGCTTCCCTGTTCTTTGGGGACCTCACTTTGTTCCTAGAATTTCCTATTCCTTGGGTTTCTTTTTGGGACTCAGCTTGGACTCCTGTCCCTATTCCATTCAATCACACAAGCTCACTTATCTTTATCTACCTGCAGGGACTGCTGGGGAGGCACCATCCCAACTCTCCACCTTCACTGAGCAGGAGCAGGAGGTGAAAGAGGTGGAGGATCTCATCATTCAGATAGAGAGTATGAAATATGAGCAAATTGAGCTGTGTGGATTCATGACCAATTTTTACTACAAAGATTTGAACAACAGGTAGCTGTTTATGCCCAGTTCTCTGCTGACCATCTTGATCCCACAGTGCCAAGTCAAGATTTCCTGAGGAATAGGAGGCTGAACCTCAGAGGGTCCTGTGCCTAAACTAATTTTCCTGAATGCTTCAGAAAGTCAGAATTTGCAATCTGGGTAGCTATGAGATGAGGAACCGGGTTATTCTGCTTCCTCCAAATAAAAAACAGAGCCTGTGACCTGAATCACACTCCAGGGATAGGGACAGCAGTGTGTCAGCTTTCAACATGCCTTAAAAGAGGCCTTGGCAGGTTTTGGTTTGTGAGACATGCTAGGTCCTGTGAGTTTGTGGTGAGTCTTTGTGCTTGACCAGCAGATGACTGTGTGCTGAAAATTCCTGGCAGCAGCTGAGGGGCCTGGTCCCATCCATCTATATCAGTGTGTTGCTGGAAGGCCCAGAGTTCATCACTGCTCCTCTCTGGTCTTGTTCTTTATAATTTGAGTCCGTGCCACCTCCATACACTTCATGGGCAACCTGATTGTAGGTGTGGGTGGGTGGGGGGATAGAGGAATATGTGGGGAGTGTGTTCTTCTGGGAGCCTGAGGTCTTTGGCAGAGACTGAGGTTTTGGCATCCTCACAGTTTCTAGGGGATGCCAGTGCTGAAGCCAGGGAGCCACACTTTGAACAGCACAGCTCTTGGTCACTGTGCTCTACTTGGTGCAGCATTGGAACCCCCTGTGGAGTTTAT